TGAGAAGTGGAAGAGGCAATATCTCATAACGTTGTGCCAAACAAAGAACATCATTATGGGTGGTTGAAGCAAATGTATGCACAAGTCTAATAAGATGTTGACAAAATGCTAGCCACAACATTCCTAACTTGATCCGCTCTAACATATTTGGCTCCACATGAAGCAAGAGGCTTCGAAAACGAACGCCAAATTGCATCACCAACTCAAATAGCCTTTAACAAAAACAATGCAATTATTAGAAGGCATCATCATAATTGTCAGCATGTCCGAATATGCATTTGAAAATGTCTAGGGAAACACTCTAATCCCCACAAGTGGCTGCACTCAAACCATTAGACCACTGTAATGCCATCTTTTGAAGACATATGGGAAATTCATGCAAACGTCAAGCATCATCCCAAGAATGACATGTGATAATCATCGTGAAGTGATCGAACAAATGATACACATCATCCCCAGAATTCCCACGAAAGAACTTCGGCCGAACACAAGAATTAGCACAAAGTGCAAAAAAAGCTATACCATGTGCCGTGAGTGCCACCATCAACTAAGTTTGGTTGTTCAATTGCAATCATATAGCATCAAGCAATTGCACCAATTGTTGCTCTAGAGTTAGAGGAGGAAATTGCTACTTTGCCATGAAAATGAAAGAAAAGGAAAGAGTAAAAGAACATAAATGAGAAAAAATTAGAAGGAAAGGGAGATCTAGACAATAGAAAGCTAAATATAAACCAAAATCCTAAAAGGAAAAAACAAAAGAAAAGAAATGGAAAATGTTAAATCTAGAAAATGCAAAAGCTAAATTTAAACCAAAATCCCAAATCCAAGCACTCCTTAGGAACAATGAAAAATGCCCCTCTCCTCCACCAATGTGAGTGCATAGAATATAGAAAGAGAATACAAAAAACATGTATATCAATTAGCCCAAAAACCCTAATTTATATATAAAAGCAAGTGGTTCGGGTTGAAACCAATCTGACAACTACTAAAACCCCACTATGTTAATATTAGTATACGACATTATAGATATACATTTGGACCTCACACCTTTATAAACATATTAGTATTTTATTATATTTAAGTCTTTAATTTTTTATTTAATGTTATCTTAAATTTAAAATGGATTTAATTTCCTTAAACTTCAAATATTTAGAATTTTTTGTTTTAGGAATTGATATTTTTTAGTTTCTCAATTAATCAAAGTTTTTAAAGTTTAAGAATATTTCTAGTAAGATAGAATTTTTCAGTAGATAAGATTTTATTTTAATATGATCAATTTCTAAATAAATTTGATTCAAATTTTTATATATTTATATCATTTTACTTGTTAACTATCAACTATGAACTTAAATGAATTTAGATACTTTTTTAGTTCTTCCAAGTAAAATAGTGATACTTACTTTAGCAACAACAAAATGTATGTCTATGCACATTTAAAACTCACACTTGAATGAAGATGTAATTACTTTTTAACTAAGCAGTATCAATCCCCAACAAATTTAACTGGCAAGATAGCTAAACTAAATTTTATTAAATTTTCTAGTGCATTGGTTCGAAATACGGTTTCAAACGCTGCGTGAATGAAGCAGCCTGGGGAGAAAGAAAAGGAAGCCTATCACCCTACCTAAAACCTTGATAGATCCAGGGAGGGGAATATTCTACTGCCAGGTTTTAGGGTTTTAGGGAATGGCGGAGAAGAAGAACAATGGGGGCATGGCGCTGCGCGTCCGGCCTCCGGCATTTGGACTTCCCACGGCATGCCCGAAATGTTTGGCATCTCTTCTCTACTTGCGCCTTGCCAACATCACATTCTGGCCCGAGTATAGCGCCGCCATGCCTGATTCCGGTAAGGCGAGAATCCATCACGTTATATCTTGGTGTTTTTCTCTTTTATTTTGCGTGGCAGACGATCTTCCCATGGTGGAGCTGGGACTGCTGGTTGGATTCGCGAGCGAGCCGGGAGGAGTGGAGGAGTTCTTGCGGACGGAGAAGCTGGGCGATCTAGACGCGGATCTGGCGGAGGTGGACAGGTCGGAGCTCAAAGCATTCAAGTCTTTGCTGGTGCCGCTCAGTGACGCGCTGCAGCTGGAGCTCTGGTCCAGGGAGAATGAGAGCATCGCGCACAAGATTTACGTCTCGCATCTTCCATGGCCGATCAACAGGGCGATCGAGTGGAACATGAGGCGAAAGTTGATGAACAGGCTCGGAGTGAACAAAGAGAATGCCAAGGACAGAGAAGCCGAGGTGAGCTTTTATCCCATGGGGGAGAGAGATTGGAACAAAAAGTGGTTTGACGTCTCCTTGGTTGTGGTTTTAGATCTACAAGTGTGCCTTCGATGCGTACGAGGCCTTCTCGGCCAAAAAGCAAATGGACTCGCTCTATCTTGTGAGCGACAAGTAAGTACCGTATTCACTGCTGAGATTGACTCCTTTCTTTTTTTTCATTTTTGTGCTTTTAAGGCCAACGAGTCTCGATGCGATGCTACTCGCACACATCTTATTCGTTCTATCTGTGCCTCTGGTATGCTGGCCACTTTCAATTTTCTCGTTATTCTTATGATGTTGTGTTGATCCTGCCATGACAGGTAGGATCTATTCTCAAGGATGAGCTGGTCTCGAAGCATCCATTGCTGGTCCAGTATGCCGAGTCCATGAAGGATACTCTCCTCAAGAGCAACGAACCATCGCCATCGGACAGTGTAAAGTCGCCACCGACATCACCCCGAGCATCAAGTCACGCTAGTTCATCGTCCAGAGACAAAGATAAAGGTTTGTTTTTTCAAGGCGATTTGATTCGATTGATTTGCTGGTTTGTTTTCTATTTTTCCAGGAACAAACCCTGAACCCAAGCGCAAGCAAACTCCCAAAGAGAAAGAGTTCCGGAAAAGGGGAAAGATGTTTGTTATGGCTCAGTTAGCAGCTCTCATGGCCTACATCGTATACTCGGGCCTTCCATTCGAAGAAGACGATGGTGACGACAATGGGCATGACGACGATTGATGCCAGCCCTCTGGAAAAGCACTAACAAACAAACATCGAAAGGTTTTTTGAGAAGAAAATGCATTGACAATTCAAGGAATAATCACTTTGGTGCGAGCAGGGAAAGCTAAAGACTGATCCGTTTGTGCTTCCATTGGTGGCTGGAGATAAACAAAGAATGGATGCGAGAAAATAAAAACTCTATGGTTTTGCGGCTGGTCTCACAGATATCAGCCAAAAAGCAACAATCCGAGTCGCCACGGAATTGAACAGGTAAAGCAAAAGCTCTCAAATCTGCCAAGAATCACACAAAGCTTAGTGCTGAATCAACACTATTTACGCAATGGTCTTAAATCACGACCAAAGCTTGAAAGGATGATAGAGTTTGCCTGGCTTACGACAGCGATTTGTGATTGCTGTCGTCGTCTAACTTGTGTGTGTTGTCTCCACTAAAATCATGGCGTCAAACTACAGCAAAACATTTCCAGTCGCCACGAAAGCCACTTCAAAAGCGAATTTTTTTTTTGGGAGCCATCCAAGTCAATCATTCCATTTCTTTCTCGCTGGGCTCCCAGAGGATCAACCCACACCAATTGAATAGATTAGATGAAATTCCTCTCTTGTCAGTGCTGAATCTCCGCGATTACAACAGCCCACCCAGCAGACAAGGGGAGGGGTTGGGCGGGAACGCTTTTCAAAATCTCCCGCCAAAACTTAGGGTTTTAGGGTTCCTGCGGGCAGTGTACGTTTGCGACGCAATGTCTTGTTTGCGCGCTTTGTGTTTGCTTGTGCCCTGTTGGAATGTAATGCTTTCTGGTGGGCCTGAAGGGATCGTCTCGACGTTGAAGGGCAGGGATAAAGGTGTAAACCGCGTATCACATTGCGGGGCTTACGTTACTGCCGTGGAGATACTGACTTTGGATTAAGTTATTGTCCAGGCTCGCGAAGGCTGTCTCGGTATATGATATTTTTTTCCGCTCTTGTGGCTAGCATGTCTGTAGTACTTTGGACTAAATGCCTACTTCTTTTTTCTGCGTATAATCAGGGACAGGAATTGCTTGCTGGCCTATCATTGGCGCGCGTTTTCAATCAATCAGTGTCCTTTAGTACCCGCTACTATTACGATTGGTGCCGTCAACTTCATCCGGTAAGTGGATTCGGTAAAAGCATTCTCCCTCTCCTTGTTGTTGCTTAGCCCTCCCCCTTTTTGCTGGATGTCACTCAAACTTTTGCTTGCGAGACCTTCCTGCTTTCGTGGTTGTGTTACTTACTTGCATAAAACTTCCGAGCATTCAATGGATGTCTTGTTTGTTTGGATAGGTTCCGCGTCGAAGAACAATATTTTCGAACACTCAAGTTGCAAAATCCATGCCACTGGAGTCTGGAGGGTCAATAATCCAAGGCCCCTATGGTGCTGGAAGGGAATTTGCTGCCACGAGGGGAACACCCCACAGTTGGTGGATAAAGCAGGATCCGTCCTTCACCTCCTTGGGTACGTAAATTCTTTCCAGCCACGCCATTATGGACGGTGGCGATGCCATGGAATTCGGCGTTACGGCTGGGCCCGAGAGGCACTGGTTCTACAAACGGTTTTGTGGAGCTGGAATATGCCCGGGACTCTCGCCTTTGTGCCTGTTAAACGCACCAAAGGGCGCACAACAGCAACAGCAACAACGGGGACAAAAATGACACAGCAAACCAGAGCATAACTATCAAGAGGGATGGGGAATGTGGTTATGGGAGAATCACAGGGACAAAAAGCTACAGGGAGCGTGAAAGGCAACGGAGAAAAAAACTTTCAGCCACAGGGAACCACACAACAGGGGGACTGCCACTTAAGTACATTTCTTAGAGGCTCCTGCATTGAAGAAAACAGCGTAGCAACAAGAGGAGTATATCTTGGCCCACTCACGCGTGCACTAGAATCTTGCGGGGCCGGGGGGAGTGACCCAATGGCCTCAGTCGTTGTGTGGTATAAGAAGGAACGAGGCCGAGACGGGCATCAGTGGCGGTAAGGTGGTGGAGGAGTTTTCACAAAAAACTTCCTCTCCATTTAGTTCCTGCGAAAATGGGAAGCCTCCCTCCCCTGGAGCAAGAGAAGCAAGCCGGCTTGAAGAGCTTGGAGTTTCTCAGCAGCAACGACAAGCAGAGTGCTTACTCCGCAGCAGAGTTGGAGGCCGGGCACTGCGCGGAGGGAGGCTGTCCATGCGACACCAAAGCTGCTGCTCACTCGGCTGGCCAGTCAAGTTTCTTCCAGGCCGTTGTCAATTCTTTCGTGCTGCTGATCGGTAAGAAGCTCTCGTTTCTCCATTCTCGTTTCTCCATTCTTCCTGCTGATTCCCTGTCATGTTTCAGTCACTTGATATGCATGCAGGGATTCTCTTCGGGTGTTTTTGATCTGTATGGAAGAGTTTGTCAGTGTTGAATTATGGAATGATTGCCTGCATGTCCGGTGTACATTTTCGAACCCGCATCTTTTCGTGATTTCTTTTTCTTTGTTCCTTTCATTAGTGCCGCACCAGGTGAGTCGGCAGATACTTCTAGAACTGTTCCCTGTTTCTGTTTTCTCAACTGATCTACTTTTACTAATCATTTGCGCTAACAGGCCTGGGAACTCTCTCCTCTGCCTATGCGATCGAGAAGGCCGGATTCTTTGGTTTGCTGGTGCTATGCATCACTGCAGCGTTCTACTGGATCGGCTCCAAGCTGATAGTCATTTGCATGGAAGCGGACAAGAGCCTCATGAACTACCAAGATGTCGGGAACAAAGCCTTTCCTCGCTGGGGTCGGCTGCTCATAACAACGTGCTTCTACATCGACATCCTGGGATGCCTGGTCGGGTACCTCGTGTCCATGGGTGACACCATGATGCACATCTTTCCTCACCCTCAGCTCGACATTCTGGGATTCAAGGGGAAGACGCTCTTCACTCTCCTCGCCTTCTTGGTCATCCTGCCGTCGGTGTGGTTCCGGAAGCTGAGCACCATCTCCTACCTCTCCTTCTGGTGCGGGATGAGCATCATCACGACAATCATCTGCCTGCTCGTCGCGGGGGTCAAGGATCACATTGGTTTCAGCCAGGACGTTGCCATCTTCCGCCCGGCCAACGTTCCAATCGCTACAGGGGTCTACACCTTCACTTTCGGAGCAACCGCCGTGTTTCCGAGCGTTTACAAATCCATGAAGAACCCCAGCAGATTCACCGAGGTAACTTCAAGTTCGAAGCCTGCCTTATTCTTTGTTCTAACGCTGCTCTGTTCGTCCAGGTGATGACACTGAGCTTCTCCATGGCAGCACTGCTCAACGTCATTGTTGGCATCATCGGCTCGGTCATGTTTGGAGCAATGACTAAAGCCCAAGTCCATCTCAACATGCCACCGGCGCTCATCGCCTCCAAGGTAGCAATCTGGGCCACTCTCCTCACTCCGGTCACTCAGTTCGCGCTCTTCCTCTCGCCAATCTCTTGTGAGCTGGAGCAGGTCATGATCAAGTATCTGCCGTGGAAGGCCGAGTCGCGGATGACCTCTGGAGCCTGCATCATGCTCCGGACAACGCTGCTCATCGCCATCGCCATGGGAGCTCTGCTCTTTCCGTACTTCGCCAACATCATCGAGCTCATAGGATCTTCGGTGAGCGTAACGCTCTGCGTTATCTTCCCCGGCGTCTTCTACTTGAAGCTTTTCTCCCACAAGATTCCCAAGTCGCGGTTTGCCGGCATTTGCGTGGTGATTGGCGTGAGCGCCTTGGCGGGGGTCGCGGGCACCATTGTTTCCATCCAGGACTTGATACACAAGTAAGAGAACTTTCTCTTGGTTTCTTTTATATCGGCCAGGAGGAACCAAGAGGAACCAAGAGGAGAGAAAGAAGAAAAGAACTAACTGGTATTCTCGTGTTAATAGATGATAAGAGCAGATTCAATACTGGATGTTCTTTGATTTTGTTTGGTATTAAAACCATTTAAATGATTAAACCAAGAGCCTATAGTTTAATTACACCAGCTTTCGTAGTATAGTAGAGTCCTTGTAGGCCTGAAAGGGAAGAACCGCACAAAGCGTGAGCTCGTTGATTCCTCCGCTACGAAACAAGTTTTGGGATCCTGATCACGTAAGTTGGAAGTGACAGAAAGAAGCGCCGCTTTTCACGATTTCCTGCGCGTTGCCATCCCACGATCTTGGAAGACTTTCCCATGGAAGAGGAGAAAGAGAATCTGTGCTTCTGCTGTTACCAGAATCCACCACACGAGCACTTCCCGTCTCTAAAAACGTGGAACCGGGCCGTGTCCCTGCAAACTATCTCCCGTTCTTCCATCCCGGACAAAACTTCCATCACCCTGTGACAATCGTCGCAAACTCGCAAGTTCTTCGTGATCCGGATGGTCGATCCCGGAGCCGTGCTAATGAGAGCGCAGCCCATTGCCAGCCTCTCGCTGTGACCACGAAGAACTTCTTCCTTGGCATCGTCGCTAATGTTTCGTGCGACGCTGTCCAAGTCCGCGACGTAAAGTCCCTCCTGCTTCATCCTCCAAGTCACCATCTTTACCTTGGCTTCGATGGCTTCGATCAGAGCATGGGTACGATCTCCGGCGATAAACGAGTGAACTCTCGACGAGGAATCCGTCCACCAGCTTCGTCCTTCCTCGGCTTTCCTCCATGCACCGCTCTTAATCCTCAAAGCTTCGATCTTTGATTGCTCGCTCCACATCTTCAAGCTGCCGTAGAGACTTGCCATGAGCATGTATGGAGCCGAGTCTCTTGGATCGATCCGGAGCAACGCCTCGAAAGAAACCTTGGCTACTATCAAGTTCTTCCACTTGCGGCACGAACCGAGGAGCGTCATCCACGTCGACCAAGTTGCCTGGAATGGCATCGTCTCCACCACCTCCACCGCCTCCTCAAGCCTGTTCGATCGCCCAAGCATGTCGAGCAAACAGAGGTAGTGCCCGATGACCGGAACTATCCTGTGCCTCGACTCCATAGCCCGGAAGAACTCCCGGCCTTGGTCGACAAGACCGGCGTGGCTGCAAGCGGTGATGATGCACACGAGCGTCACCTCGTCGGGTTGTAATCCCTCCTCCACCATCTTCTCGTACAGCGAGAAAACTTTGGGGGTCTCGCCTCGCCGGCTACTCCCGGCTATGAGGGCAGTCCAGGCCACCGAGTCCCTCGCGTCCAAGACGTCGTAGAACACCCTCTCGGCGCTCTCCAGGCTCCCACACCTCCCGTAGAAATCCACCAGGCAAGTCCCGAGAATTCCATCTCCATCAAAACCGAGCCGGCAAATCTGTCCGTGGAGAGCTCTCCCCGCCTCCAGCGCCACCAGAGCTCCACACGCCTTGAGCGTCGCCACAAAGGTGGCCTCGTCCGGCTCGAAGACCCCCCCAATCTCCAGGAGCTCCAGGCAAAGATCGGCCTCTCCGAGCTCCGCCAGTCCCAGCAGCAGCGAGTTCCACACCACCACACTGTGCTCTTCGATCCGGTCGAAAGCCCGCCTCGCGTCCGCCAAGCTCCCACACTTCACGTACATATCCACAGCACACCCGGCCACAAACACGTCCCCGCCATAGCCACGCTCGCAAGCCTGCGCGTGGATCTCCATCCCTCTCTCCAGAGCCGCGGCTTTCACCACCTTTCCACTGATCTCCCGGCCCTTCTCTCGCATGCCACAGCTCGAGCAGGCCTTGAGCGCCGCTACGAAGCACCGCGAGTCGGGCTCACACCCCTGCCTCCGCTGGATTCTCGCGAAAATCTCCAGCGCGAGCTCCCCCTGCCCCTGCCGGGCATAGCCGAGCAGCAGCGACGTCCACGCCACTGCGTTGTGGCAAACCATCCGGTCGAAGACGCGGTGAGCGTCGGCCAGGCTGCCACACCGCGCGTACATGTCCACCAGCGCGCTGGAGACGAAGAGATTCGTGCTGCTGCCGCCGTCGATCGCCTCCGCGTGGAGCCTCCTCCCGCGCTCCAGCTCCGCGGGGCTGCGACACGATCTCAGCGCCGCTAGCAGCAGCGAAACACTCCGGGACCTCACCTTGCTGGGCCGGAGCTCCATCGCAATCCCAGTCCCCGCCCGGCATTCCTTCCCTCGCGGAAGCGCCCGATCGATGGACGAAAACGCGATGAACTTGGCTGCCCTAAATTATGGACGAATATTCCAAGCTTCTAAACCTTATTCAAGCAAAACGGTCCCATAGTCAAGTGGTTACGACATTGGACTTTGACTCCAAGGGCCCGAGTTCGAATCTCGGTGGGACCTAGTAGCTCCCCCTAGATGCTATAAGCATATTCTTTTGCTCCCTGTCTGCCCTAAACCAGCCACATTCCTGGCGAATATGCCAAGCTTTTTAGTTAGTGGAAGGGGCCGAGTTCGAATCTCGGTGGGACCTTAGGGCTAGCTGCCCTAGATTCTCGTCGAATATTCTATTACTGCGAATCTCTTGGCGCGGGAAAAGCCGTTTTACTATTCCCTGCTTGTGCTGGATTGCACTCCCCTCCACCAATCCGTTGTCTCATTCATTACGTCGGGCCCCCTTTTTTGTTTGCAAGCATGATATGGGCGGGCAGAAATCAGCCTGTCTCCTACTCACTGTAGCTTTTGGTTTCCTTGCCCTAAATTTTACACCGCCATGGCGCCACGGCCAGAGTACGTACGCGTACTGGGCGCCACCAGGCATGTAACAATACAAAGAACACCCTGGACTTAGAAACGTTTCAAAGCCGGATCCTCCCCGGTACGCTGGGCGGAGTACGTACGGAACGGACCACGATTTTTCACCCCATTGTTTTTTATTCCCTTTCCATCATCGGGGTGGCACCAAGTACACAGCCAATGCACCCTAGCAATCTAGCGAGATAGAAGAAACAAAACCAGACATAATATCTGAATTTCTATATGGTCTTGTATGGTCTTTTATAACCCTAGCTACACAACAGGCTGGCGGCTGGCAGTAACAAATGGCCGCCCATCCACGTCATAGAGCCGTATCCTGGCCACTGGCCATGGCCATGGAGCCGTATGGCCACGCCGGAGAAAAGCTGCCCCAACGGGTCGAAGCGGCGCCACCGGCGGCGCAACCAGCGGCGCCGCTTGCTCCCATTGTATAAATTTCCGGCCCTCTTCCATCCGCCATAGCTGGCGAGCTTTCTCGGGGAGGAGGCGGCGGCGTCTTCGGGGAAAAGAGAGGAGAATAGGCCAATCCCGAATACTTTTCTCCTCGCATTGCTGCGTGATTTTAGTCTAACGCGTTGATCGAGCGATTCACAGCCAAAGTCCAGACCATTTCTCCAAACAACGCAGCGTCCACCCAAGAGCGTAAACCACCAAGAAAGGCGAGGCAAAGAAGAGCAAAAGATTAAAAACCCTGGATTGTCACTGTTTGGTTGTTGGGGCGAGAAGTATTTAGATTGGGGGACCCTCGGCATTCCACCATCTTCTCCAATCCCTCTCCTCCTCCTCCTCTTCTCCGCCGCTCTTCCATTCTCTTCGATCACTCTGCCTCTCTCGATCTATCGCTCTCTCCTCGCGTTCTTCCCAAGATCTTGGAATCGCGATCACAAAATCTCCTCTTCTCTCGCAAAATCTCTCTCCCCTCCGCAAAATCGTTCCTCTTTCTCCCCTCCTCTCGCGATTCCACTCCCCTTTGCTTGCATTGCAATTCAAGGATTACGAAGATCCCCCTTGCAAGCGATCGATTATCCCGGTGTATTGGTTTTCTCTTCCGTGATTTCTCGCTCCTAGAGCTCCTTCCCCGTCAAGACTAAGAAAGGCGGCATCAAAAACAAGGGAGAGATCGATCACGCATGGCATTCATCGCGGCGGTGGAGATCAGGCTCAGGAAGATCGGGCTCCAAGCGGCGGCCAGAGGCGGAGGAATGCTTCGGTCGTCATGGCCATTGCTGCTCCTCGCCGCAATGGCCGCTCTCCTCGTCTCCCTCGGATCCTTCGACCACCTCTCGCTCATGGCGCATCGGCTGTCGCTGGACAGGCTTCCCCATCTCAGGGATTCCATCTTCGGCACGCAGCCCTTCCTCTTCCTCGTCCTCAATTCCGTGATCTTCGCCGTGCTCGCTCCCTCGGGCCTCTTCAAAGATGGTTGCTCCTCCACTCCAGATGATCTCCCTTCGTCTACCCCGTGCTCTTCTCGCACTTCTTCTCTCTCTCGCACTGATTCGATGAATGGGTCGTCGCACAGCACCACCACCGCAAAGTCTCTCGAAGAACAGTCATCCAAGAGCGATACTCCGGCTCCAGAGCCAGATCCAGCGCCGGCTTCACAACCGGAGGATCCAATCGCCCCGAGCTCCACAGCAGATCTCTCGGGTCCGGCTCCAAGCCCCAGCACGGATTCTTCGCTCCCGGTCAAGGAGGTCCTCAAGAAATCGCCGAGGCCGAGCAATGTGAGCCCGCCCAAGTCGCGAGTGAAGCGCGTCAAGAAGATGCAAAAATCCGCGGCAGCTCCGAGCAAGCAAATGGTGGTGCCGGACATTGTCGAGGAGCATCCCAAAGATCCCGTGGGGGATCCCACGGATTCGCTCGAGGACGAGGATTTTAAGCGCTTCATCGATAGTTTCATCGCCCACACGCGACACCAGATGCTGCTCCAGGAGAGAGAGTACGTCTGAAGCAATCCAGCGCAGCGGTGCCGCACGATCTAGGGCTTGGGAGAGATCGGACGCCTCACACACGCCCATGTTTTTCTCCTTTTTTTTGCCACAGCTCTGTACAAAAGTGTTGATGGTGGGAGGGTAGGAACTCAACACAGTTTCTTGCTAGTTTTTTGAAAGCAAGAAAACTGCTATGCATATATTTTTTAGGCATAGATTTAGGAAGGCATAGCCAGCTTGTTGCAAAATAAAACATTTCTGGAAATAAAGAAAAGCAAAAAAAATTAGTTAGGAAAACTCTGCTCCCGTTCCTGTTTGCTGATGAAAGATCTACACTAGATTAGCCATGGATTAACAAAGATTATGGGAATGTTCCAATTACACTTAAGAATTGAGGATTTTTCTTTGGAGGGTGATGGGCTGCTCGATCTCACCGACCATATTCGCGTGTTTGTTCGACGCCGTACGCTGCGTACGGAGGTGACAACGACGACCGAGCAGGGTGTTTGGCTGTCTGATCGATTGATTCAAAGGCAGCAAAAGTTTAAGTTTACCGAGATCTTGTCATGTACCTTGAACGGAATATTTCAAACATTCTCAGACGATTTCGTTTCGCTAAGCTAGCTTGAGGAACTTGTGTTTGGCCGCTTGCCATTGTCACCTTGCAATCGTATCGTGATCGATTGTAGCATATAGGCCGCGGTAGCCGAGGGGAGGTACAGAAACACGGGGGAATCCGATCGAATCCAACTGTGCTTGTCCCTCTTTTTCTTTTCTCCTTGAGAGGCCGCCAAAAGAGCAAGCAACGAGGAAAAGAGAAAAAAGAGATGATGCAGTGTTCGACCCCTGGCTCGATTCTTTGGTTTTGCTCGCTTGCTTGCTGATAGAAAAGAAGTGAACGTTGACATGTACAGAGGTCTGCTTGTCCTTGGGAAGATAAAGAAGGAAGAAACTTTCTCTTTTTTCACTAATGGTCGAGGTGTGGTCCACACTGTCAGCCTGTGTTCCAATCTACTATAGAAATATCGACAAAGTAGAGTAACAAGAGAGGGAGCCACACTCCTCTCGTGCAATGATTATCGATCGCTAGCAGCTTTGTTCTCGAGCCAAAAGTCGGTCAATTCACTGAGAATTGTTAATGGCATCAGTGAAAAGCTATCTAGTTTCCAGTAGCTCGTCGCTCGCGCGAGAGTGCTATAACCATAAAATTACAAAAATCACAAGCTACCACATCATGAAACGATGAAAGCGAACTTAATCGTTTGGCGATCGTTTCACCACCTGATACGTCTATGGTTCGATTAAGCACACAGGAACTGCGACTCGTTTCGCTCAATGAATCTGCCATGGCGTGTGAAGCAAACAAAACGAAACAGAAGAAGATTGCAACGGTTCACTTACAGCATTATCTCCCTCACTTTGTCTTCGAGCTCGGACACCTCTTTCTCCTTGAGCTGATCATACACGAGAAGCTCCGGGAGTTTGGCTGTTATCTAGGTGATTTGTTAAGAGGGCTTAAAGGTGGAAAGCTCATCACTTACGGAAGAGACGAAGCAAATGCTCGGCTCCATAGATCGTGGACGGTACAACGTCGCTGTTGAGCGAAAGCAAGGTTGCGTATTGCTTCCGTTCTGCCGGGTACAAGAGCAAGTTCTTGAGAGTTCTGTCGAAGTAATACCGCAGGCCGTTTGAAACCTCGACGTCAATCCTGGAAGGCAAAAGTTTGCACAATGAAACTTGACGGCATTATATATACACCTCTCAGCTTTTCCTCTCTTGAGCATCCTGTGGTCTTGATACAATTTCAGAATGTCCTCCACGCTGGGTTTCTTGGGAAGTCTTGTGAGTTGGAGGTTCTCGATGCGATCCTTGTGATCCTGCAGATGTCGCCGCAAAGTTCTCGGCAGAACAATCTAGCATCAGAAACGAAAAGAGACAAAGCAATAGTAAAGTAGCATTGAAAGAAACTACGGTACCTGAATTGGAAGAAGCTTCGCGTCCTGTTTTCCCAAATCGCTAGGGCTCTCGATTATAAACTCCTGTTTAGGAGTTTTTATCATCTTTCCCCTCTCAGCAGTGGCTCCCACAGAAGGCCGACGCTTGCAACGCTTGGACTGCTCAACTTTGGAGATTTTGGACAGCGAGTCCGAAGGATTTGCCTCCTGCCGGTTCAATCCATCGCTGAAACCAAGCTCCTGCTTTACCTTTGGGGCGATCTTAAGCTGGCCCCTGACCTTCTCGTCGAAAATGCGATTGCTGCGAACCCACTCGTCAAATCTGCAAAACCAAGAATCGAGGCCAAGAAAATTGTTGCCGAGATTAATATCAAAGGGTTACACTACTTTTTGCTCCATCCCTGCAAAAATACAGGACAATAAAAATCCACTGACACATTTCTTGGTAGTCTCAAACAAACCGTGTAATGCACTAAATACCGCCAAGCATTCGCTCGAAACTTGATGTTGGTGACCTGCATTTGCCATGGGATCGCCAAGATCGCTAAAACCCTAGCTTCGAAACCTTTGAAATCACCTTGGCATTGTAGTAGAGCCCCCCATAAGAAACAAGCACATCGTCGCCATGCTTGAGCGCCGGAGGCTCCATGGACTCGAAATGGCGGGTACACTGACGTGGCAATGATGGCGTACAACTTCGTTTTGAAATTCATTCGCGTACCATTCTCTATGTACGCACGTACGTATTACGTCTCCATACACTCGAGGGAGTAGCCAGCTACGTGCGAGCAGACGGAGCCAGCCGGCGTGCCGGGGTTGGCCAGCGTCAGCTCCACGTCACGGAAGCGGATGTCCGTATATGTGGTCGCGCTGGCGCACTGGAGGCTGATTCCGTACGGCGAGGCCGAGGTGCCCCGGATGTTTGAGAATGTGATGTTGCTGATCTCCAGAGAGGTTCCCTGCAAGTCGCGGTAAGCTTTATCTGTTGAGTGGCAGTAAGCTTTCGGGTGAAACTTACCTGGTTCTGGCAATTCTGGGCACCATTACAGTAGTTTTGTAATCGGGTTCTTCACGTTGTTCATCACAATATCATCGAAAACAACATTCCTCACACAACCAGAGCCACCCTGGTTGCTCACAGTTTAGCAACAAAAGCAAGGATATCACAGTGCTGATCCGTACGCCGTGGCTCCGCCAGATTTTGATTCCTTGGACCAAAACATTGGTCACCGTGTCGAAAGACCCGCCCTTTCCAAGGCTGCCGATGCTGATTCCATGCCCAGGCCCGCATCTACTGTTGGTCACCTTGACGTTGTCGCTCCCACTCACAATCGACACACAGTCGTCACCTTTTCAAGTAGAACTTTCAGTAGATCAATTGAAGGGTCTTACTCACCAGCCGAGACGTCTGCCTTGTCAATGACAATGTTGGTGGTTCCAGAGACGTGGATTCCATCGGTGTTCGGGCTGTCCCCGGGGGAATCAATCACGACATTCACAGCCTCAACAACATCCGACTTAACATCCGACTTAGAGAATGTGAGGTGGATTTGAGGGGGTGTTCCGAACGGTGGTGCCATCGACCTTGATGTTCTTGCCACCGCTAAACCTGATACCCTGCGCCGCAAACACAGTGGAAACTTATCGATAATCTGAGCTTGGCTTACCGTTGGAGCATCACCGTCACTGCAACCCTGGGAAAGAAAAGATTCAGTCATCGTTGCATACAATGGAGAGAGTACCTGTGTTTTGTTGCGTTTGCAAGACTGCGCCCACCAATCAGCGCCATTCCCGTTGTACGTGCCGCCAATCAACGTGAAGTCCGTCACCCCCACGAATTCGAGCCAAACTTTTGCAGCTGACTCGGCTAGCCAACGCGCTTCTAGGGTTGGCATGGAGGGTGGCGTTTACCTGGCCAACCAAACTTTAAAATTCGCTTCAACCATTGACCAGCGTTTGTGACATTAGAGCACTTCTCAAATACAATGGGCGTGAGGTAATATCTGCCTGTCATGTAAAGAATGGTGATGCTAGCCCTGTTGCCTTGAGTGCATGCAGTTATACATTAAGAAGAAAAAAGAAAAAATAAACAAAAATGATAAGCAAAGCACACCAACTTGAGAATCATCATAGACTCCATTCCCCAAAGCTCCAAACTCAATCACATTGAAGTTTGAAGATGAGGGAGTGGGAGACTTCTTTGGGGGGGGGGGAGAGGGGAATTCTTTGGCAAATGTTTTGCAATGGACGAGGAGATTGATTTGGTGACGGGGTAGCATCTATCCTTGAGAATGGATCTAAAACAACAGCAATCAACAAAAGTATTAGAGTTCTTTTACTTGCCATTGCCCCCAGCAGAATAGACCAGAAGTTGCAAGTATATATCTTAATCTCCCTAAAAATATGTGTTTTAACTACTGTATTATGCGTAGTTTTACTTTTATGAATGATTAGGCTTGTTATATCTCCATCAATTTTTTTTTAAACGGAAAAAGAGGGAACACAGACCAAAAATTTGTCTTACCTCTTCTTTGAAAGTGCAAGCTAGTATGTAAAGCAAGGCTACCTGCATGGTCATTGAACTCGAACCAAGTCGGCCGATCGGAAACGCCGGACGTTTGACATAACGTCGGATGGGAGCACTCGACCTCGCTCCACAAGAAGGCACACTTGAAGAACGGGAAAAAACGGGGGACATGTCGGTGATCTAATCCCAGCCTGCGAAGTCTGTCGTTAGCAACATCTTGGACAAACCCCGCAACAGCAAGAACAACACTGGAAAGTCGTCGCTAGCATATCACCCAAATGATTCAAGATCTGAAACATTGCACTCGCAGCAGATTAACGAACATAAAACCATTCTGTTGGCCATAGATACAACAAACTCTAAAATCTAAAAGATAATGTATGCTGTTTCTGTGTGGAGCATTCCATTTCTCCAGCATGTCTGCTACACTTTCATGGCCCGGCGCGAGGATGCGACTCAGGAAACCCCTTCATCTCGGCCGTCCGCATTATGGAATTTTGCTGCCACTCCGGAGACCAAAACACTCCTGCAAAACTTTGCTAACAAAAACGTGATACTCTCAAAAGCTTTCTTCGCAGCTTACAAAAATTCAATCCTCGTGATTTTCAAGGAAAAAACTTTTTTTTACCATATGCCCATCCAAGAAACAATATCCCTCAGGTAAAGAAGGCCTCCCATTAAACACCATTCTGTTTCACTCTCTCTCCACCTAGCTGGCAATGATGTGGCGGATTACATGGCACTTCTCTCTTTCCCCTCCCGTCCGTCCGAAGACTGTGGTCTTTCTCGGCTTTTGACCGGCACTTCTTTGACGTCCTGGAGTTTGGAAGCATTTTTTCTATTGTTTGTCTTTCACAGAGAAAGAAAAGAACTTGAATAGCGAGACAATGGCATAGCTATCTCCACCACATTTGATTCCTCTCCATGACAACAAAGCTGAGCAAGGACCATTGCCCATCCACCTGCAAAGTTCCAGTGGCTCCCCAAGAGTGTGCTTGAAAGCTTGCAAGGCATCTATTTGAAAAATACGACTAAGGATGATCCAAGAGGAGAAGACTATGTAGCATTTACTAGCTCCAGGCTTTGCAAAGATGAAGAGCAGAGAAGGCTGTGCAAAGATGCCCATATTCCATGATGCCAGAGCTAACAGTACCATTGAGCTCCACAAACTCATAGAAACTTCCATATGATCGTTGTTGCTGCCCCTTGAGAGCAAAAAACAAGAGCGCTTCCAACCTAGCTGGCGTCGCTGCTGCTGCTTGGGTCGACCAGCATTTCCATTCCAAAGAAGAACCTAAAACCCCCTAGAGAAGAGGGTATCCCAAAGTCCCCCAATCCAGAGGAGCAAAGCAAAAGGAGAAATACACACTAGTTAGCATTGGACACAAAGGAAAAAAAACCCTCTTCTCTCCCTTCTCTGTCCTGTGAAAAAGACTTTGGTCCAAGTTAAAGTGATTGGAAGTAATGTAGTGTGGCAGCAGGAGAGAGAGAGAGTCGGACGGGAGTGGAAAGAGAGAAGTGCCATGTAATCTCATCATTGCCAACTAGGTGGAGAGAGAGTGAAACAGGATGGTGTTTAACGGGAGGCGTAAAGAAGTGCTCTGCCTTGTCAAAATGGCTGTGGTTGAAAATCGGAATCAAAGCATGATCAAGATGCCCGTTAGTAATGGCTAAAGACAAGGAGGTCCACATTCTTGTTTTAGGGTTCATGCGCTAGGGTTCTGGATCACGATGAGAGGCGATGCGAGTTCTCCTCGCCTCCAGCAGCAGCCGCGGCTTGAAGCGGTGCCTCCACACCGCCAGCTTAGATCGTTCCGACATCGCCTCCGCCGTGCTGGATCTCGAGAAACAGGCGGTGCGGGCAGAGAATGCGACCTACGCACGGCTCCTCCAGCGCTGCGCACGGGCCCAAGCGCTACCCGAGGGCAGAAAGATCCATTCCCTGGCTGTCAAGCACAATCTCTTGCCCGGAAATCTCATCCTGGGCAACCATATTGTGAGTATGTATGCTCATTGTGACAGCCCCGGGGATGCCAAGGCCGCTTTCGACGCCTTGGAGCAGCGCAATCTCTACTCGTGGACAGGGCTGGTCGCGGCCTTCGCGATCTCCGGCCAGAGCAAGGAGACGCTGCGAGCTCTGGAGAGGATGCGGCAGGATGGTGTTCGTCCTGATGCAGTGACTTTCATCACTGCCTTGGGCTCTTGCGGCGATCCAGAGAGTCTGCGGGATGGGATCCGGATCCACCAGATGGTGGTGGACAGCCGCCTGGAGATCGATCCCAAGGTGAGCAATGCGCTGCTCAACATGTATAAGAAGTGTGGAAGTCTCTCCCACGCCAAGAGGGTCTTTGCAAAGATGGAGAGAACGAGGAACGTGATAAGCTGGAGTATCATGGCCGGGGCTCACGCTCTCCACGGAAATGTCTGGGAGGCTCTTCGCCACTTTCGATTCATGCTGCTGCTGGGTATCAAGGCCACCAAGTCGGCCATGGTGACGATCCTCAGCGCTTGCTCCAGTCCGGCCCTCGTCCAAGATGGTCGGCTGATCCACTCGTGCATCGCTCTCTCCGGGTTTGAGTCGGAGCTCCTCGTTGCCAACGCGGTGATGACCATGTATGGACGCTGTGGAGCTGTGGAGGAGGCGAGGAAGGTCTTTGACGCCATGGACGAAGCTCTCCGGGACGTGGTCTCGTGGAATATCATGCTCTCGGCCTATGTACACAATGATCGAGGTAAGGATGCAATTCAGCTCTACCAGAGGATGCAACTGAGAGCTGACAAGGTGACATACGTTTCGTTGCTCAGCGCGTGCTCTAGCGCTGAGGATGTTGGACTGGGACGAGTTCTCCACAAGCAGATCGTCAACGATGAGCTCGAGAAGAATGTGATCGTCGGGAACGCGCTCGTTTCGATGTACGCGAAGTGTGGAAGTCACACGGAAGCTCGAGCTGTTTTTGACAAGATGGAGCAGCGGAGCATTATCTCTTGGACAACGATCATCTCGGCTTACGTGAGGCGGAGGCTGGTTGCGGAGGCTTGCCACCTTTTCCAGCAGATGCTGGAACTGGAGAAGAACGGGTCCTCTCAGCGAGTAAAGCCCGACGCTCTGGCATTTGTCACGATTCTTAACGCTTGCGCCGACGTCTCGGCACTGGAGCAAGGGAAGATGGTGTCCGAGCAAGCCGCTAGCTGTGGATTAAGCTCGGACAAGGCCGTCGGGACTGCAGTGGTGAATCTGTATGGGAAGTGTGGAGAGATCGAGGAGGGTCGCAGGATTTTCGACGGGGTTTGTAGTAGGCCAGACGTCCAGCTCTGGAACGCGATGATCGCGGTGTACGCTCAATTTGGACAGAGTCACGAGGCGCTTAAGCTGTTTTGGAGGATGGAGATGGAGGGCGTGAGGCCGGATAGCTTCAGCTTCGTGAGCATTCTCCTGGCGTGCAGCCACACGGGGCTGGAAGATCAAGGAAAGAGCTACTTCACTTCCATGACGACCGAGTACAGGAACGTGACGCGAACGATCCAGCACTTTGGCTGCGTGGCTGATCTTCTCGGTCGCGGTGGCAGGCTGAAAGAGGCCGAGGAGTTTCTGGAAAAGCTTCCGGTGAAGCCCGATGCTGTGGCCTGGACGTCGCTGCTGGCCGCTTGTCGGAACCACAGGGACTTGAAACGAGCGAAGGAAGTGGCCAACAAGCTGTTGAGGCTGGAACCGAGGTGTGCCACGGGATACGTAGCGCTGTCCAACATCTATGCCGAGCTCCAGAAGTGGCACGCCGTGGCTAAAGTCCGGAAGTTCATGGCCGAGCAAGGCGTGAAGAAAGAGCGTGGCGTGAGCACCATCGAAATTGGCAAGTATATGCATGACTTTGCCACCGGCGACGACGCTCATCCTCGGAACCGTGAGATACGTGAGGAGCTTGCGAAGCTCCACTCGCAGATGAAGGAATGTGGCTATGTCCCGGATACCAAGATGGTGCTCCACTTTGTGGACGAGCAGGAAAAGGAGAGGCTGCTCTTCTCGCACAGTGAGAGGCTGGCTATAGCTCTGGGTCTCATCTCGACTCCTCTCGGAACTCCTCTGCGAGTCACGAAGAATCTCCGGGTGTGTAGTGACTGTCACACCGCAACCAAGCTGATCTCCAAGATCGCTGGAAGAAAGATTGTGGTCCGAGATCCAACTCGGTTCCATCTTTTCAAGGATGGCAAGTGTTCCTGCCAGGATTATTGGTGACAGGTTCGACACATTCAATATATCTTGTTTAATAACAGGGAGTTCATTGCAGGCTCGAAGCAATCACCCTCGTGATCCAGAGCTCCGGCTTCCCTCTTGCCACTTCGAGGCAGCGTCGTAGCGCATTAGTTCCATCGTTTCTCGTGGAAACCAGATCTCCAGCCGGCAAGAGCGCCGCCCCAGCACTCTAAACCGTCCTGCTGTATAATCCTGGAAGCAACACCTTATTGGAAAGTGGATCTTCTCCGTTCTCTCGGGAGTGATCGGTAAGAGGCCGGTGCCAGTCCATCCGACTCCATTAGTATTATTTCAAAAGCAACAGCAAAAACCGCTATGCCATTACGCAACTTGATCTGATCAAACGTTCATTCACCCGGAAGAAAGGCTCTCGCTCCGCGTTCTTCGTCTACTTTTTTTTAAATTTCCAAAACCGTAACTAACCCCTTTGCGGGGTTAAACTCTGCCGCGTGGCGTTTTGGACGGTATAGATTAAGGGCCAAAGACTCAAATCGATGGTACGGGAGCGCGCAAGTTGGCAAGGCAAGTAACAAAAGAGAGCGCGAGAAGAAACACAAAGTTGGCCAACCCCCTCAAGAGGGTAAAGAGTCAACCTGCAAAGATCAGGCAAGTCTAGCCATAGTATTACTCTAAACATGAGTCCACCATTCCCTTTCTGTAGGGTGTGCTGCTCGTTCCATGGCTCCACAACCCCAGGTGCTCCTCCATTCGCTCATGAATTGTAATAAGTTAGTAAGATTTTATATTTCTACACAATAAAATCTTTTTATGTCTCTAATATACCTTTTATTTAAATTCAAGAAACAGCTTGAAAAGGATAAACTTCTACCCATATTCTTCTCTTATAAAAATCTTAAGACTTCTTGTTTGTGTATGAATTAAGGGTTGGGGGTGGCCACCACCTGTAGCAAAGATGAAGTTGGAGTCAGTGACATTGGTATTTAGTTCTGCTTCCTAAAATAACAATTTTGAAAATGTGGGAGAGGCTTTTGAAATGGATCTGAAGTTAATTTTCAAGCTGATGAACACTGTATAAAAGATGCCAGTCAGCTTCTCACCAAATATTGGAGTTGCTCTAGTTGGATTTCTGATTTGTTCATCAGCTTTGACAATAGTATCCAATACACTTTATTCCCACACTTCTCAAAATACTGAATACAAAAAGAAAACCTGTATTAGTAATAAGTAAAGTTAAACCTTGACTACAAATTTTAAGAGCAGGACAATCTCAACCATTGGATTGAAAAATATACCAGAAGCATATTTAAGATATTGTTAAACTGTATTCTTATAAGATAATCATTCTATGTTGCTTATACAATCTTAAACCATTTACTTTTACTGTTTACTCTGTTTGATCATGATTTGCCATAAGAAAATATCAAATATATTATTATGGTGTTAGAGGGAAATAAAACAATTTTATGGTGTACCAATATGTAAACCAAAGATAGTCCATAACCTCTGAAACATCACTATAAGAAAGCAGCCAAGATGCATTAGCAACATTGTAATCTAGAGGCAATAAATCTTTGTTCTTTCAGGGCTCACTTGTTTTTTACCCTAGTAGTTTTGGGATATGATCTAGTTGCAAAGAGGAAATTCCATCGACTTGCAAATAAGGTATGAGATACATCTATACTTTGCCACTGCCACCAACTGAAAATGCATCTCCTTGTCACTACTTTGATGAGTGACTTTTGGTGCCTAGAATATAGTTAATGCAGCCCAAGACTAAATCTAGAGGGACCTTCCCCACTATGAAAAGTTGGTAAAAACATTCAAATGTTTATAAACACTGTAATTATTGATTTAAACATTAGAAAATTGGATTTTGAAGAGGAACAACATGTAGATTCAGCAAGAAAAAGAAGAATGAATTGCAAAGATTATTCTGGCCACTTAGAGATAGCTCTTGAGAAGAGATGGAAAAGAACTCGATAGGGAATTCCTCATTGCAGCAGCATGTTTCCCATGCCTTGACACTCTTGGGACATTCTTGCCTAACTTTAGCCCCAAGTTTAGTAGGAGGAGCCAGATTTTTATGCAGCAAGAATTACCAAGGTTGCTAGACAGTGATAAGTAGTGATCAATGGTCACATATTATGACATGAAAAGGCTGAAAGGGTAAGGAAGTTTATCAAGGTACACTTGAAACTTATAAGAATACCATAGTGAAGATGGTCAAGTACACAAAGTTTCCAGATAGCAATGGAATGATGATAAATGGTCAAGAGACTGAAAAGTGCAAAGTGAGAGGATAAGATTACTAGTTTACTAGAGATGATTTTTCATTTAATTTTCTTACACACCAAAGTGTTCTTTTTCCTCAAGATAGATAAACTGTTATTAATATTATTGATTTTTTTATAATTAATAAGTTTTTCTTTTTGGAATCAGCAAACCATGATTGTTGTTGCACAGAAATATAATTATTAGAATAAATTATTGAATTTTTTGTTGGTCATCAAACACCAAGAAGTCTTGGTGTATAACCAGTACCAATGAAAACAAAAGAAAAATGAAAAAAAGTCCAAAATGCAAGCATATTCTTCTTTTATCTATGCCATGCAACGGCTGGAGCACCGGTGCACGATCCGGTGCATGTGGCGGTAATTGGGCGATAGCTGGAAGCTAAATCTCTGCACGATCATGGCCATGGCGATCTTGGCTTCTGGGCGAAGGATTGGCCCAGGCACACGCGCTGGCCTTTGAAAACAGGAGAAATGCGAAGAGGTGCTGTGTCTTGGAAGTGCGTCCGCAATGCGCTCGGGTCTAAACTCGTTGGCGTCATTGCCCCAGAGATCCGTGTCGTGGAGGAGGTAGAGGATGGGGACGATCACTCCGCTCCCTTCCAGGAATGACAAATGCCCAAGCTTGGCATCTTTGAATTAGCTCCGGACGATGACAACGGCAGGAGAATACAATTGCAAAGCTCTTGTTGAGCACCATCCCGACCTGGATTCGCCATAGCTATAGAGTTTAGAGGAGAAGTCCAACGAAGAACGAAGAACTTATGATTTTTAGCTTGTTTAAGCCCATGGCATCTGGTGCTTTGGACTGGCAGACTTGGCGGACTTCTTCTCGGGCTCGCTCCTGCCAGGATGGGTTTATGGTGAGGGGCATCATTGTCCATGCCAGCTACTTAGCCGAGGTATTGTGTCCCGCGATGTAGAACGTCTTGCATTCCTCCATCAAGCCATCAATGGTGAAGGAGAGCCCGGTCTTTGCATCATAGTGCTCCGCGTCGACTTCCTTGAGCATCACTCCGAGGAGATCACTTCCATAGCCCTCGATCTCTCCCGCCGCCGTTTGATCCTTCCGGACTTGGACAATCTCTTCCAGCGTCGAGCGCACCTCGGCATTGACGGCTTTGATATCGCGGTTGATCTTGGAGAATGGAAGCTTGCTGTGATGGAGTTGTAAGAGACAAGTTCAAGTGCGAAGTCTATACCTCTGTATCCATTGCGATGAAAATTTGCGGTAGACGAGCTCGCCCACTTGATCCAGCAGCTCGAAAACTCTGTGGCCCTGCTTGTAGCTGATGCCAAATGCCGCTCGAGAGATAATGTCCGACGTTAGTGTCGTGAGCTCCTTGCAAACTTCCAGTTCGATGGGCTCTTCTTTGCCTTCTGTGAGAGCATTCCATTTCTCCAGCATGTCTGCTACGCAATCTCGCATGCCGCTGACCATGAGCTACAAGATTTTATGTCAAGAGAAGAACTTTGGAGTGATTTTCGCTCGCTTGCCTTGATCTTGTCGGCGTGAAAGGCCGGTGCGAGGATGCGACGCCTCAACGCCCACTCGTCTCCATTCACGACGGCCATGCCTCGGCCCAGGAGATCGATCTGGAGCTGACGCTGCCAGTTGGAGTTCCAAAACGCTCCAGCCTTGTTGTAGAGCACCTCTTTGATCATGTCGAGGTCCGTAAGAACAACGCCAGGCTCGCTTCCCCACCACCACCGCAATGGTTGTCCTGGAAGAGAAGAAAATGTAAGCGAAATCTCTACAAGAACAAGAACTGGCCATATACCATAGAGTTTAGCCCACTGGAGGTGGTGTGGCTGGACATAGTCCATGATATCGTGGGTGATCGGCCCTTCGATGCATTTGGCCTCGACGTGAGTCCGGATCTCAAATATGTGCTTGACATTTCCTGAGAGAATCGACCTGGGCGGGCCCCGAATACCCTGCCGCCGCAGCTTGGCCTCGAGGATCCAGGGCTTGAGCAAGAGCTTCGTCACCGCCTTCCACACCAGACCTACGCATAACGCCGCGATCGTCCATAGCCACAGTGGCGCCATGGACAAAAGATTTAAGAGATTTCCTTTGAGGGAATAATGTGAGCAAGTTTATATACTATAGTACCTTGCTTGAGCGCCAAGCGATCTGCGAAAAAAAAAAATTGTTTGGTGCCCTACCGTGGCGAGAGATGACTGGCTGGGTTTTACCACATTGGCTGTCGCTTCCAAGGAATTTGGACCAATGCCTGCCAAAAGGAAGAGGTGTTTGAGTTCGCTTCTTCAGCTTCTACACGGTAGAGAAGAGATTCTTTTTGTATTCATCGAGATTCGAGTTCTTTGAAGTACATTCTTTCAATCCCAGCAATCGAGAAACCGTTGTTTTCCCGAAGACTTCTTCAGCGGGTCCCGATTTCTTCACGCCAATTCAGCAAATCTCCAACCCACCTCTCTTCTGTTACACCAAGAACGAATGGGGCTTATGCTTTATTCAAATTAAGAAATGGCTTCTCGTTGTGGTCCGGACCCGTTTGAAAGCCCACTCTGAACTATGTCTTCAAAGTTGACCTCGACCCTGACATAAACCCACTCTGAACCATGTCTTCAAAGTTGACCTCGAGCCTAGCTCATCGTCCAAGGTGCTTTTCTGTGCCGCTTCAGACCAACTTCAACCTCTACGTTGGGAAGTTGCTTCCCATTCAATGAGTGAATTATGCCAAACCCTTCACAAACTTCTAGGCACAGCTTTGTGGGCCCAAAAAAATCACTTTCATAGTAAGCATACATGCTCTTTGAATTCAAGGAGAAGGATTTGTAACAAAGAAGAAAGAGGAATAGACAATAGTACCTGACGAAAGACCAAGTCATTTCTATATATGTAATTGTTGAAAGTTGAATTTCTTATAGTCTGTGCAAACTTTTTTTTTTGAAATAGCATATTAATAGCCTAATGTGAAGATATAAGTATTCCACTAGCAAGTAAGGTAAGGAACTTAGGATTAAACCCCAGAGACACAAAACAAAGATAAACACACCTAACAAGGAACTAAATAATATAGTAGGTTAATCCTTACTAACAAGGAAAAAAAACCATCTCTCTAAAAAGGAGAATTTACATTGATAACAAAAATAAGTAAATTGATATGTACCATCGTCAAATTAAGAAAAGGTGAGCCCACTAACATGTAGCTCAACCTTTAAGCACCACCTCCACAAGGATCAGTGCATCTTTGTTTAGCAATCCTTGAACTTAGATTAGTTTCAAGGTTTTGTGCAGCCAGTTGAGCATCCACAAAGACATCAATGCCATCAAATTTAGGTATTTGAGCTCAATCTATGACAAAACTCTTGCCACCTTGAGAATTTTCCATTTTCTTAATGCACTCACAATATCTACTAAAGGTTTCAACCTCAAGGATTTAAATATTGCTATTAAGGGTTTGCAATTCTAACACTACATTATCAGTCATCCAAGCCTTCACAAAAGATTGATGAGCAACTTCCTCTGCAGAATCCATAATAGCAAACTTGCAGATTCTCAAACTCTACGCTTTAATACTAATTATTAGAACCTAAAGAAGAATTACTACACTAATGCAAAATGGATCACCACCCAGCCACCCCTAAGCTCTATGCCACTCCTTCACCTTCTAAAAGCCCTTGATTAGTCATGAGCTAATTTGTCATAAAATAAATTGACTAAAGTCATACTTTAAGCCACAACAAAGTTAAGATGCTCAACAAATTATCATTAAACAGCTCCTTTGTGATCCATCTCTCTATATCAAAATGCAACTCATTTTATAATAAGCATAATGAGAATCATTAATAATTAATATAACCTCAACTCAAATTATCAATGATTCAACAACTTTAATATTGATCATTAATTCTTCATTTTATAAAGCTAGTATAATTCATGACTAAACCACTTTTTAAGAGCAACACTCTACTAAACAATCTCATTTAGACTAAGATTAACTTAACTTATCACTCAATTATTTTGAATGCTAATATAATTGCTATCTAACAAATTCTTGAATGTCAATAATATAAAAGTATAACCAAACCATTAACACCATTTTCATTAAGACTAGCAAAACTAAATGTCAATCTCTAAAGGGAGTTTAACCAATCATCAATCATTTGAATCATTATAGATGGGAAAATTTAACTTCCTCAATATACCATGGAGAAATATTTAATCTCACTCTAATTTTAACTTCTACAATATCAACATCAAGATTACTTTAACACTATCAACACTAAAACAAAGTTAAAAGAAAGCAAAAGCAAACCACCACTCAAAACTCTCTAGCAACTAAATTGACCAAAGTCAAAGATATTATATTTAATATCTAAGATAAATATTTTATTAATACCTAATTATAAATAATACATCCTCAAGGAGTGAATCACCATGTCTAAGACTTAATATAATCCACTACCATGCCAAACATTAGTAATAGAGGTGAAACCAACCTGCCAACATGGGAAACCATATAAGCCTAATAATACAATCCTTGGCAATACCATTTAATAAATAAATTATTATAGCATGATAAACCATTTAAGATATTAATTTGGCTTCCATTAGGATATGTTACTCTTTGTTTTGCATTTTACTTAGGTTTAAACCCAAGCTCTATACTACTTTAATAGATGGGGTACCCTTACCCTCTCATTAAGCCACCAATATGCTAAAATTATGTCAAACTTTATTTCACACTATTTTATATGTAAAAGTTGAATATAAGAAGCTAGTGCTCATAGAGGATTTAAATATATATTAGACCCTCAATTCATAATGCAATGGGCTTAGAGTTCATCTCTAAATTCATATACTCTACATCTAGGTATAACATATAAAAACATGGATAAGTATATACAAATAACTACTCAAATGCAATTGAACCACAATAAGTTCACTAATATATTTAGTTAATAGCTCTAAATATAATTAAAAAGGCTAACTATAAATGATCAACACCCAACTGAAACTAAAGTAAAGACCATCAGATGTACTTATATAAGTACACAACTTTTAATAAACATAGCTATAGTGCAAGTATTAACACCTCAACTATAAACAACTAAGTTGGACATTCCTATCCTTAGCCAAGATAAATGGCTACTAAAATCAAATCAAGATCAATGAAAATTTATTACTCCCATAGAGTCTAACCCAAATGTAAGGTGCATATAATACTATATAAGAAATGCACAAAGATCACCTTTATAAAAAAATATTATTGACTTTTTTTATTAAAACTCTAGACTTTATTCAACTCAATTGCTTTAACCCATTCTTTTTGAGTTGCATCATAATAAACCATTTATTAATATCTAAGTAAACTAAAGTCACTTCACTAGTTTATAATGACTTATAAAAATAAAATGGTTTTTAGGATAAATGATCAATAAATCAATTATTGGAAAAGCTTAAAATATTTTTGGAAAATTTTCCATTCTAGAGAAATAATAACTCTTAATACAAGAATGTAAATTCTTTCCTTTTACCTACCAGGCATGATATTTACCACTCGAACCTAAAAGCATCACATCATTCTTATGTTGATCCCATATGTTAGATACAGCCAAAAGAATGACAAAGGACAGAACAACTGGAGCATTATGAGACACCATGGAGCATCAAGGGAAAAATGAAAGTATGTTAAAAGTATACTTTTATTTTGCTATTTTCTTTGTTCCATTGGAGTGGGTCTTTATATGGTTTCTTTTGCTTAGTTTTACTAAACACTAGTGATGAAATGATTGTAAGCTTTTAGGGGATAGTGGAATTTGGGAGGTCATGTCTGGGGAGATTATAACATTACAATAGCCAGATGAAGTGGCTTTTGAGGAGGATGTGGATTAGTATAAGTGAGATTTAAAAAAATTTAGGCAAGTTCAAAGCCAAGATCATGATGCTGAAAAGAATGATAAATCAGTCTAATGACTTTTGCCCAATGAGATGGTGATTTTTATATCTTGCTATATAAAAGTGTTTATAGCATGGTGGCTCATGTTGGGGACATCTCAATGATACAGTTATAGCACAAAACTTTCAATCCCCATAAGTGTATAGATTTTTGTAGTGGATTAAAGAAATCTTTAAAAAAACAAAAGCTCAATAAGGTATAGAAATTTTAAAACTTGTTCACCTTAATATCGCACAAATGGGTCAAAGCATCACTATTGGAGGATCAAGATGCTTTTGCTCATTGTGGATGAGCTATTTCTAGTTTTATGCTCAACTCTAGCCATTTAAACTTGGAACTTTGACCAAATTTATGCTTTGTTCTTGAGTAGAATCACAAAGATATATTTACTTATATCAAAACTATTTATATTGATGGAGGGTTAGAATTCCTGAATAGGGAGTTTGATGCTATTTATATAAAAGGGGAATTTCTCAATAAAAGTCGATGGCAAATGAATGTGGTTAGAATGGCATTCTAGAAATGTAATATATTCTATAATGAAAGCCAAAAACATTACTTCATGTTTTTGGAGAGGCATTTCATATATATGTTAACTTTAGAGCTTATCAACAATGTTTAAACTCCTTGTGAGGCATGGATAGGTAAGAAATCTAAAGTCTCCCATCTTTGAGTATTTGAAGTTTAGGTTTTTGCTATATATCTTGTGATGAACAGTTGACAAAAATGTATGATTGAGTCTTTTAATAAGGGTGTAATATAGATTAAGATAAATCATATAAGAAGTTGATCAAAGTTTGGAGCAAATGCTAAATCAAATAGCAAGGACAAACATTATAAATTCCCCCTAAATTAACAAATTATTCTTGAACAAATTCCTCAAAAAGCACTAGAACTTATAATATAATAGTTTATGGTGTCATATATGTGACTATAGGTAGAATGACTTGAGAAATAATCCGTTAAAAATTTAAATATAAAAGGAAAAGGCTCATGAATAAGAGTGCATCTCCTTTTCTAATCGGTTAAGGGTTTTAGGATATTTGGGGTTAAATGTTATTGGGAGTAATATTGGGTTATGTGACTTCCCAGAAAATCCAAACTTAGGAGTTTATATTTGGTATTAGGTTTTAGTTCAACTCTTTTAGTTGGCTAAGGGAATCACACCATATGTTTGTAAAACACAAATCCCTAATCCCCAAAGTGGAGCCGAAAGGGTGCCACATGGTAGTGGCTGAAGCAAAAGCCAAACAAGCGTAACATGTTTGGACTAAAAGACTCCGATTTGAAAGGTTGAGAGAGGGAGTGGAACTCCCAATAGAGTGCTCAAGGAACGAGCATGAAGTGAGCAATAAGCGAGGCTCCAAAAAAGGACCCAAAAGGACCAACACATGACACGTGGAAGTGTCCGAGATGGAGTCCGAGATGGACCCGAGTTGGAGTCCGAGGTGGAGTTCGAGATGGAGTCCGAGATGGACCCGAGTTGGAGTCCGAGGTGGAGTCCGAGATGGAGTCCGAGATGGACCC